AGGCGTGTGAGGGCGACGGCAGATCTGGGAGCTGTCGGAAGCTGCTGGCCTCCCAGCAGCAGTCCCGACCCTGCCAAGACTCACGCCAGTCGCCCTAAAGGGAAACTCCGACCAAAGAGAGGTTTGCTGGACGGATCTGTGCCTTCGCGGGGCACCTCGAGACTCCGCGCAGCAGCTTTACTACGTGGGTGGTCCACACGCTTGGCTACTAAGTATTGCGACCTACGATTCACGAAAGCACCGCACTTCGAGCACCACGTTACCTGACCTCCTCCAATGTACAGCCTATAAGAGGGGTGGGCGGATCGGGATGCCTTGGGCAGCCCGACACACGGGGACTTGCAGACACCTATCCTACTGCCTGCCTCCCCACAGAGAACGCATTGGTATTTGAACCTGCCCCCAGGGAGAGTGAACCGAACCAGCTGATGGCCAAGCGCATCGGGCACCAATTCGAGACCTCCAGGGCGCTGTCTTACCTTGGCTCGGACCCTCGTGGATCACGCACACGCTGTTGGAGACCAGGTCGGCCTGATGTGCTTACAACTGCTTGGCTCGAGGGTTGTGGGGATGCACTGCAGCCCCTAGCTTAGCAAAGCGGTCCGCCTCGCGGTTGTCAACCCAGATCCAAGACCTAAAGCCACGGTCGAGGGCGGCCCGCCGAGACAGATGGCTCTATACGCTAGTGCGAGTGATGTTGTGGATCCCTACATCCCATCCCTAGCAAAGACGTCGCACCACAGTTCACTGTATGAGACATTGGTTGAGGTCCTGTGCGGGCCCCTTTGTCCCAGATGCCGCAGACCATCTGACAGCTAGTGAAGCATTCGGTCGCACATCCTCCGACTGGTCTCAACGCTGCCAGGAGAGCGAAAATCTCACCCCCTCCCGCAGCCCGACGCGGGCGGAGGAGAGGCCCGTGGAGCGAGCCCGACATGTTTCCTCCCTCATCGACGGCCACCGCCCACCCGTCCCGCTCGCGGAAACCATTCTGAAGGGGCCCACAAACACACAAATAAATGCACACAAATAAAAAGATGCCCCATAATTTCTCATATTTTCTGGGTTTTTGTCTTCCTCCCCACTTCCCATATTTTCCCATATTTTCCTGGGGATCGGCGATTAATTGTGTCTGTGTGTTTCTTACCCTCCTGACATTCACTGTCTGGGTCCAACGCCGAGCCGTCCAAACAGATCCTGCCCGTGTCCAGGAGACCAGAGGGGGGGAACACACTCCAGAGCCACCTGGCATCGACGAGCGGAGTGGGTCAGAGGACAGCTGGGCTCGCGAAAAGCCCTCTCGTGAAGCCTGGGCCATGTCCCCAGCCTCGCGTCCTGTGGCCAAGAAACTGTCCAGGTCGAGGGATTGCGGAGTCCAATGTTCCCGTCACATCCGTAGAACCTGCGCCGAGAAACCCAGCCAAAGCTCCACACCACCTGCAGAGGGGAGACAGGACTCGACGTCCTGACAAGAGGGCCTGTTGCGTGGCAAACCCTCCCGCAACAACGACTGACACCAAGGAAGCCTCGAGCCCCTCACCTTGCGCTCGCAAGGCTTACAGTTTCCGAACCAGCGGTTCAAGCAACGGGCCAGCGGTCAAACCATCCACTTCGAGCCCAACATGTTGCAAGAGAGACCCCTGGGTTTCCTGGTCGATAAGAGCACGCATAGTCCTCTTGCCCAGGGTGCCAAATCGACCTCGATTCCGCGTTTCGTGACCCAGGGCCGATACCCCAGAACCTTCCAACCGAGGCGCCTCAAGGTGCACAAAATCGCGCCAGCAGGTCCCGTGGCCTGCCCCCGGCAAAACGCTGGGGTGTTGAGGAACGCATTGGAACTCTTCTTGAGCTGGTCTTCGGGGGCCCAGCTGCTGTGCAGGGCCAGGCACCAGCTCCGGAGGGGGGCAGAGTTGGCCGAGAAGGTGGGGTCCGCTTCGGAATCCCCGTTGAGTTGATATAATTCGAGCGTCCCGGAGCGTCCCTTCGGGGGTCCCGAAGATGGCCTGGCCCAGGATCCCACGAATTTCGGCAGGGCGGATTTTGTTTTGATCCGCTTGTCGAGAGCGCACCTCTTCCGGTCGAAGCTACGCGGGCCGCGCACAGCTTGAATTAACGTGAGGGGGGCAGAAGGAGGGAACGGCAGGGCGGGTGTCAGCAATATCGATCACCGCGCAAACAGAACTCACAGCCGGCAGGCCTCCCGTCTTGGCGACCTCCACGGCTCCGCGGAGCGCCGGGCGGAGCCCCCGCGGAGCCTGCGGAGCCTGCGGATCCTCGAGGCAGCCACACGGCCTCGCTGGGCCGCTGTGCTCCGCCTGCGCCGTCGGACCGAAAAATCAGCGCCAAGGCTTTCAGTTGAGCTCTTCGTTTTGAGCCCCCAATCCTTGACGAACGCCGAAATCGTCTTCCCTACCCCGCTGTCGGCGGCCAGGGCCACACCTTCATCCTTGGATATGATCAGAAAGAGGCCCTGGAGCTGCAGCAGAAGGTAGCGCGCCTCAGCGCCCACTCGCTGATCAAGGTGGGCAAGGGCGCCCATCCCAAATAGCGTGATGTCATCCACCACGTTAAGTACTCGCAGACTCCGCCAATGGAGGACAATCGCGTCCAGAGGGGTCCTCAGGGGACGCCCTCCTGGTCCTCCTGACGCCCCACCTCCCTCCACCCCCGCTCCCCCTCCCCCTTTTCCCACATGCCAAACGGGAAAAGGGGCGCTGCAGGAAACAGGTCTACGACCCCAAGTCCAGCTGTTCATCCCGAGTCGTGCCAATCCCCCAGGGTCCGGGAGAAGCCAAGGGAGGCCGAACAAAACAAACTTGAGGGATCCGCGGACCTGGTAAGGAAACCGAGTCAGACATTTTAGACCATGCCTGATATTCGCAGCTGTGGCATACTACCCTGATATCCGACGTCGCGAGAAGAACCTCGCTACAGAATTGCAACCAAAACCGTGGGCCGTAGAACTCCCCATCGACATCCCTCCATCCGGATCCACCCCGGAGGGGCCCGATCCTCGGGACCGTGGCGGAGACGCCCAGGGAGAAAAGCTGCGGGGCCCGGATCTCAGGGTGTACGGTGGCCCCATGCCCACGCGCACGTCATCGCGTTTGCACCTGCGTGCTCCTGTCAAGCACGGCTTCACGCCCAAGGGGGGGGGGGCGAAGCACTACATTGAAGGGGCCCCAGGACACACAAATAAATACACACAAATAAAAAGATTCCCCATATTTTCCTATATTTTCTGGGTTTTTGTCTTCCCCCCCACTTCCCATATTTTCCTATATTTTCTGAGAATCGCCGATTAATTGTGTCTGTGTGTTTTTCCCCTCCTGATATATGCGCCCCCCTGGCCGCGGCCAGGAGGGCCCACGCACCGCCACCGGGGGCCCAGGATGGCCTCCGCCGGGCGCGGGGGAGCACGGGCGTCCTCTGCGGGCCGCGCCTCTCCCGAGCACTGCGCAGGCTGGAGCCTCGGGAGCAGAAAGCAGGGCCCCGCCGTCCTCGCCTCCCAGCCGCCGGCACCCAGGCCCCGCCCAGGGCGAGGCCCGGGCGCTGGACGGGCTGCTGCCACGCTCCAGCCTGTCCTGTTGGTGCTGTCCATTGCGATGCAGTGGACGGCAAGCGTAAGGAGCGCCAGACAGGGAGCCAAGGCCCTGTTTGCCCCCGGAAGCGCCTGGGTGCACGAGGAGCGCCAGAGGAAAAACGCTGAATGGAATGACCCAAAGAAGAGTCAGCCCCTCCCGAATCCGAACTGCCCCTTGTCTCAGCGTCTTGACTGCAGTGCCACACTCTGCTGTAAACTTATGTTGCTCCCATCGTGTTTAAGGACAAAATCCCCAAAAAAATGTTCGAGCACCCAAAAAATATCGAAACAGTGCCTGCCCGACGCGCCAACGAAGTGTCGATCGAACGAGTATCGCCTCCAAGGGCCCGACACGGGACAGACCTTCGATCTCGGTACTTTCGTGGTGTTCGAAATCTGTTCCTGGCGATCAACGCTACAGCAGGTTGGAACACCATTCGAATTCTGACTGGGAAAACCGCCGCGGCGCTCCCGGCGGGCAGACGCCGCCGCGGTGGCCTGCACTGTGTCCGCGCCCACCGCGAGGTACTGGCCCGTGGAGTCGAACTTCACCGAGCTGACGGGGCCGTCGGAGACCTCGCCGACGGCGGAAAGGGCACCAGAAGGGTTCGCCCCTGAAGGCCTCCCTGGAGGCGTTGGAGGTATCGGGCGGGGGGGGCAGGGGGGACCCGTCCCCAGAAGCCTCTGCGGAAGGCCACAGGAGGCCCTCAGAAGCTCCACGGGGGGGAAAGTCCCCCAAAAAAAGAGAGAGAGAGAGAGAGAGAGAGAGAGAAGAAAGCTCCCTCTCCCCCCCGCCATCCCCCGAGAAAAAGTGGCAGCAGCAGCAGCAGATTCCAACAGGGGTGAGAATTATTCACTGCGTGGAGCTCCCCTTATGTGCATCTATTCGCATGGACCTGTCAGCCGTGAACGTCTAGGCGCAATAGATTTCGAATATAAACGGGTTTCAGTTGTGACGGTCTGGACATGAATCTAACTGCGAATGAGTTGGAATGTGAATGAGCCTCAGTAGTACGAGCGCGTCTCTGCGCATGAGCCTGGTGCCTCCTGGGGCCTCCTGAAACCTACCGGGGCGTCCTGGGGTCTCCAGGAGCCTCTTGGGGCCTCCTGGGACCTCCTAGGGAGGTTTCGTGCCCCAGCAGAGGCCCAATACATAGCAACATACTTACATATAACATTGCGGATGAGAGCCACAGGAGAAGGGCAGTCTATAGGAGCACACCTAAAACGCCAAGGACTCGTGCCCCAGGAGAGGCCCCATAGATAGGAACGTCAGTAAAACATGTAGAATTGTGCACACAGGAGAAGGACAATCTATAGAAACATGCGTATAACATCAAGGAATCGTGCTCCAGGTGAGGCCCAATCGATAGGAGCATACGTAAAACACATTGGATTGGAGCCGTTCCTGTTGCCTTCTGAGGCATCCTGCTCCTGGGGCCTCTCGGGGCCTCCTGTTGCCTTCCGAGGCCTCCTGGCGCTTCCTGTGGACTCCTGGGGCCTCCTGTGGCTCCTGAGGCCTTCTGGAGCTTCCTGGGGCCTCCTGGAGCCTCTCGAGACATCCTGTGGCCTCTTGAGTCTTTCTGTGGCCTCCTGATGCTTCCCGGGACCTCAGTGGTCTCCTGGGGCCTCCTGGAGCCTGTTGGAGCCTCCTGTGGCATTATGAAAAGAATCTGCGCCCACGAGCCTGGCCACCAAAACAAGCAAACCGATCGAGACATCCTCAAAATCTGGCCAACCTGGGGGGTGAAAATGAGCGCATCGCTCGAGACATCCTCCAAATCTGCTCCGAAAGCGAAGGATGTTGGGACAGAAAATTACGCTACCGAGGAACCCCACCTACTTAATCTAAATATGATGTGTTTGCTTATGTATATAATATATGCGCAATCCTGCGTTCTGAGCCCTCGTCGCGATTGTTCCCTATGTGTCATCCAACGCCATATAGCTTGAACCTCCCCCCTCGTCCCAGCCTTCTATCCTCCATCGAGGACAGGTTCGATCTGGCCACCGAGGGCCGTTTCGTCGGGCGGCAAAAAGCAACGAGGTAATGCAAGACGATCTGCCACATCGCGCCTCGTCAGGGGGCCCACTGTGGAAGCCAGAGCCAATCAAACCCCTTGCGCAATCGCTCTAGGGAGCCTCTAGAGCGATCCTTTCTCCCTCCCTTCATGCTGCATTCTCCCGCACCCCTGCCTCCCCTTCTCACCTGGGCGGGCGTACTTTTCTTAGCTTTGTCTCATGCAGTCTCCACGCGTCCCCGCGTCTCTTCGACGGAGTCTCTGAGCCGCGCGCGCAAAGGAATTGCAAACCAGACATAATCCACCTGCATGCAATCTGCGAGTGACCTTCGATGAAAAATCTCCCGGCTGCGGTTGGCACGTGGACAACAGATGGGCGGGCGATCAGAAAACGCCAAGCAGCGGCGCAGGCCGCGCGAATTCGACGCGGCTGGACAGCGCTGCCTTTGTCGGAAAGACTCCGGCGCCCGTGCACTCCAACGACCTCACGCCGCCGGCAAGATCCATTGGCGTTCCAGAGCGAGGGCCTCGATCTCCCGCGTCTCCGCAACCATGCGCTCATCAAACTTCTGGAGGGCTTTGAGCACGGACGGAGGTGGGCCCTTCTGCAAGACCTCCCGCGGCGGTGGCCGAAGCAAGAGCATGTCTTCCATGCAAGTGGCTTTGCTGAGCATCACGCACAGGTGCAGCCACCAGGTCTCCTCTCTTTCCCCCGGTCTGCCGATGCTCTTGTCCTGCGCGCAGTCGATGGTCACCCCGGTGCGGATCGTCTGGCCCTGTGACGCGGTGGATGTCAAGAAGCGCCCGTGCGTGAGCGCGTACCCATACCTTTTGACCCGGTGCGTTTGGTTTGCGCTTGTCCACTTGAAGTTCGCCTCCATGAGCGGGAAGCAGAACAGGCCGTTCGCCTTCTCTTTATCGATTCCGAAAGAGTTGGCGAGGGCGGCGCGCGGCGACCACGTCCGGGCTCTGCTTCTCAAACTTGTGCACCTGCATCCAGATTGCAGCAGGCAGAAAGCGCGGGCGGAAGATCTCCCCTGGCGCGCACGCGTCGTACCTGACCTGGTCGCTGCTCTCGAACACGAAGCTCACTATGGTGGCCTTCTGCTCCTGGACCAAGCTCTTGCGCTTGGACACCTTGACGGTGAATCTCACCTCCATGCCCACGTGCGCTGGGTGAACTCCGCGCATGTGCCCCGTCTCGCAAGGGTTCGGCACGTTCAGCAGCCTTTTGCAAGCCTCCACTGTTTCCTGTGGTGCGCCGCAGAAGACGCCCTCGTCCTTTGATTGTAGGAAGACCAGCGGCTCGCCCATGGCGCGAGAGTCGACCATGGTCCGGCGAGATGTCCATCGGCACAGCGTACTCCAGTACCAGGCCATCCCGAATCCGGTCGCAAACTTCTCCTCGTCGCGCCTCGGGCCCCTCACTCCGGTCGTGCAGTCGGTGGCGACACGAGCCTGGAAGGCTGCCCAGACATAGTCGGGGATCCGTCGCGCGTGGCGCATGCAGGCGAGGAGCTCGATCAGCGGGTCGCCCGGCTTGAAGCGCTTTGTGCCCTTCAGCTCGATCACGTGGGGCACTTTGCCGAACACTCTAACGGCGCGCTGCACTTCCACGCTCGGAGGCGGATCCAACTTGCAAGTGCCGTGCCCATCTTTCTCTTGGACGTCCCCGATGAGCCCAATGGCTTTCGTCGGGGTGAGCTGGAGGAAGTCGCCCAAGTGAATGACGATGGGGACTCGCCCAAAATGGTGGCGGTCCTTCCTGTAGTTGGACTCGTCCACGGCGAACTCCCGGCGCCTGCCGAACATGCACCTGAAGCCCAGCATGTTGTAGAGGTATGCAGATATCATGCTGATCTCCTCCATGATGAGCACGCGCACTCGGCGCCAGCGCTGCTCCAGCTCCTTGAGCTTCGCCTGGCTGGGCCGCATCTTGACGTTCGTATACTCTTGCACGCCCATGCCTCCAGCTCCGTGCATCGCCATGGCCTCCACGTTCGCCGTCGAGATGTTCTTGGCCTGAGCGTTGGAGAAAGCCGCCACGACGAGGCTCGGACTTGCTTTGCTCTCTTCAGGCCAGATTTGGTTCACCGCCTTGAAAACGAGCTCCTGGACCACGTGCGTCTTGCCGGATCCGCCCTGGCCAAGTAGAAGGATGTGGTAGACCTTGCGCTGGTGGCAGGCGATGCCTTTCTTCTCGTCGCGCCAGACCTGGTCACAGGCATCAGCAAAGCGCATGGCAAAGATGACCTGGCCCCGAGTGAGCCGCTTCTTCTCAGGCAATCCAGCCACGAGGTCCATGATGTAAGCGCTCGGAGTAGCGTGCACGCCCGCCTCGTCGAATGACGCCGGCTCGGGGCCCCTCCCGCCCCCCGCGCCAGGCGCCCTCTCCTCCTCGTCAGAGTCGCTCTCGTCTGTGGTCTTATCCTGGAATGCAAAATCCTGCAGCCTGAGCATATGGAGCTGCTTGTCCACGTGGTCCGCGCCGCTCCACACGTCCGGCATGCTGTCGTGCAGACCACGGTATTGCAGACGCCATGCTTCCCCGTGGCCTCGGTCGAACAGGCGAACAGCGCGCGAGTGGTCGAGGAGGACGTCCTTCCAGTCCATGCACGGAAGGGCCAGCAGCTCTTTCTCGAAGGCTCGGAGCCGGGTCCTATGGCCGCAGGTCAGCGTCTTCCTGAAGACCTCGGAACTCTTCATCCCCAGAAAGGGCAGCTCCTCGAAAGCGCCGAGCTTCGACTGCGGCGCCGCGGGGGTGGCAGCGCGCCCATGGCAATTTTGGGCGGCATGACTGCCACACGCAGGTACTACAGGCGCGCCTGCGTGAGAGCGCAAGCGCGCCGAGCCGGCTTGAACCAAAGTGTCTACAACAGTTCTGAATGGGACGCGAACTCTCGCCAGCGCAGACCTATGGTGTCGAGACATTGCCACGCCTGCCACGCTCTGCAAGCCCGAACCGGATGACACCCCCACCCCCAGCTCATCCCCCTGTGGTGTCGAGGAAGTGCAACGCCTGCCACGCTTTGCGAGCCCGAAACGGATAGCGTCCCCACCCACAGCTCCCCCCCTGTGGTGTCGAGGAAGTGCCACGCCTGCCACGCTTTGCGAGCCCGAAACGGATAGCGTCCCCACCCACAGCTCCCCCCCCTGTGGTGTCGAGGAAGTGCCACGCCTGCCACGCTTTGCGAGCCCGAAACGGATAGCGTCCCCACCCACAGCTCCCCCCCTGTGGTGTCGAGGAAGTGCCACGCCTGCCACGCTTTGCGAGCCCGAAACGGATAGCGTCCCCACCCACAGCTCTCCCCTGTGGTGTCGTGGAAGTGCCACGCCCGCCACGCTTTGCGAGCCCGAAACGGATAGCGTCCCCACCCACAGCTCCCCCCCTGTGATGTCGAGCCCGAAACGGATAGCGTCCCCACCCACAGCCATCCCCCTGTGGTGTCGAGGAAGTGCCACGCCTGCCACGCTTTGCGAGCCCGAAACGGATAGCGTCCCCACCCACAGCTCCCCCCCTGTGGTGTCGAGGAAGTGCCACGCCTGCCACGCTTTGCGAGCCCGAAACGGATAGCGTCCCCACCCACAGCTGCCCCTCTGTGGTGTCGAGGAAGTGCCACGCCTGCCACGCTTTGCGAGCCCGAAACGGATAGCGTCCCCACCCACAGCTCCCCCCCTGTGGTGTCGAAGAAGTGCCACGCCTGCAACGCCCTGGGCCCCCAGTGGTACCGAGAAAATGCAGCGCCTGCCACGCTCTGCGAGCGTGTCAAGCTGAGCTGAGCCGAGCTGTGCTGTGCTGAGCCGTGCTGGGCTGTGCTGAGCTGTGCTGAGCTGAGCCGAGCTGTGCTGTGCTGTGCTGAGCTGAGCTGAGCTGAGCTGAGCTGTGCTGTGCTGCACTGTGCTGTGTGCTGAGCTAAGCTGAGCTGTGTGCTGTGCTGAGCTGAGCTGAGCTGAGCTGTGCTGTGCTGTGCTGTGATGTGATGTGCTGTGCTGTGCTGTGCTGTACGAAGAGTGAAGTGTGTGTGTGTGTGTGTGAGAGTGTCGCGGGTGCGGCGCGGCAGGGAAGAAAACCAGAACCCCACGAAGCATGTGGGGAACAAGCAAACCGCTTGAGACATCCCCACAAAACGGCCGCGAACGGGACCGTGAGATAACCCCTGGCGGCTCTCCCTTAGCCGAAAGCGAAAAATGCTGGGACAAAAAACACGCAAACCGCTTGAGACATCCCCACAAAACGGCCGCGAACGGGACCGTGAGATAACCCCTGGCGGCTCCCCTTAGGGACGTGAAAATGAGCGCCTCGCTCGAGACATCCGCACAATCTGTTCTGGTAGCCAAGGATGTTGGGACAGAAAACAAGCAAACCGCTTGAGGCATCCCCACAAAACGGCCGCGAGCGGGGCGTGCGTGAGTCTCACCATGAGTAATTCTGAGTAGGAGTAGGTCTGAGTATGAGTAGGCATGAGTAAGAGTAATTTTGTGTGTGAGTAAGTCTGGGTATGAGTAAGTCTGAGTGTGAGTCAGTCTGTGTATGAGTAAGTCTGGGTATGAGGAGGAGAGGGGAGGAGGAGGAGAAAAAGGATGAGGAGTAGGAGGCGGCCAAGTAATAACAAGAACCCCCCCCCCGAGAAAAACAGCGGCAGCAGCAAAGACTCCAAGGCCCTGGAATCTGGGCCCTCGATCTGGAGGGGAAGAAGGCGGATGACCAAGACTGGACTCGGAAACGTCGAGCCGATCTCGATCGCCGCCCATCCTGGTCAGCGCAAACTCGTGGATCATCCTCATCAGCGAGGCCCGACACGGACCACGACCAGGATCGGCGTCGACAAGATCCCGCGGCACCTCTAGGGGAACAAAAAGTGACATAAACATAAAAACTCGGAGGTCCGCGCGGACCTCCGAGTTTTTATGTTTATGTCACTTTTTGTTCCCCTAACCTCGGTCATGGCCAGCGTGCCCCTTACCTCGACGATCCCCCTTCCCAGCCCGCGAGGAGGAGGAGAGGAGGAGGAGGAGGAGAGGAGGAGGAGGAGGAGGAGGAGGGGAGGAGGAGGAGGAGGAGGAGGAGGAGGGGAGGAGGGAGGAGGCCAGCGTGCCCCTTCCCTCGACGATCCCCCTCCCCAGCCCGCGAGGCCTCCATGGGGCCTCCCGTGGCCCCTGGCCGCAAGGCCTGGGCGGCGCCTCGCCACGCGGAGGCGGCGGAGAGGGGCCTCGCCGCCCCCCCCCCCACGCGGGGGGCCCAAGACGACAGCGACGACGACGACGGCGACGGCGACGACGGCGACGACGACGGCGACGGCGACGACGACGACGGCGACGGCGACGACGGTCACGACGACGACGGCGGCGGCGACGACGACGGCGACGACGACGACGACGACGACGACGACGACGACGACGACGACGGGAGGCGGGAGGCGAGCAGGGCGGCCCCCAGCGCCGCGGGGAAGACTGTGCCGCACCGCGGCCACCTGCTCGCTCGGAGTGCGCCCACGCAGCACCACGGCCCTCGGACTCCGCCCACGGGCAGCCAGCGGGCGGCCGGCGCCTGGACGCCGAGGCGCCGCCCGGAAGGGCGCCGTCGCGCCGCGGCTCGCGGGCGCGCCGGCCCCGCAGGTGGCCGCCTTGCCGGCGGATCGATCGTCGTCGTCGTCGTCGGCGTCGGCGTCGGCGTCGGCGTCGGCGTCGTCGGCGTTGTCGGCGTCGTCGGCCTCAGAAAAGTCTGTGCCCAGATGTCAGATCCCGGGACTCGCAAGGGGGGGGGCCGGCCTGAAGCCATCTTGTGGGGCCTGCTGCCCGCGGCTCGTGGGGGGGGGCCTACGTGGGCCGCAGGCCCGTGGGCGGAGGGGCGGCGTGGTGCGCCTCCAGGGGGGGGGGAGGGGGCCAGGAGGGGGAAAGGGGAGGGCGGGTCAGAGCGAGAGAGAGAGAGAGGGAGGGAGCAAAACGTGGCTATGCCCAGGCCACTGAAGCATGGCGCCCAGCTTTCCAAGACAGGCGTGGACAGGATGCCTGCACAGACATACAGCCCACGGAACTCTGAGAGCCAGAGAATCCAGGCGACGCTGGGTATGAACACATAGCGCCAGGGGCATCTGAGAGCCGGCGAACCCAGAGGCGCGTGCGAGGGACCCTGGCCGTTGCGCTGTGCTCTGGAGAGCTCTGAAAGAGCCCTGGCGCGAGCACATTCGCATCCTGAAGCCGCCGGACCTTCAGCGTCTGAATGTTCAGAGGCTTCCGCAGGTCCCAGAGCTTCACCGTGCCATCCTGCGCGCGCAGCGGGATCGGGCAAGAGGGGTTGAAGGAGGGCGTGCCCTCACTCAAAGTCTCTTGGGGCCGTTTTCACGCCGTCTCAGGCGCCCGTTGGGCTCTCTTGGGGCCCTGTTGGGCCGTCCTAAGCACCCCTGGGCTGTCTTGGGGGTCTCTCGGGGCTGTGTGGGTGCGGTCTTGGGGGCCCACTGGGCTGTCTTGGGGCCGTCTGGGGCCGTCTTGGGCCCCTCTTGGGCTGTCATGGACCCTTTTCGGGGCGTCTTGGACGCCTCTGGAGCCATCTTAAGGCGATCTTGGGGACTTCTTGGGCATTTTCGTGCGGCTCTGGAGACCGAGAAACCAAACACGCCACGATTACACTGATACACATGGATCTTGGACCTACCTTGGGTCATCTTAGGCGCGCCTTGACTGTCTTTGGGGGCTGTTCGGGCCCTCCTGGGGCCTTCTGGGGGCCATCTGGCGCCGAGTTAGACTCGTCTGGGGCGCTCGGGACGCAGCTTCCCCAGACCAAGCTCAAGTCGACCCAGATCTGTACAATTGAACCGATTGTGTTAACGCAGCTATAGCCGCCCCCTGTCTGAGACCAGGCCCCCCCAAGACGGTCCCTTCCCCTCCCCTCACTCAGG